GACTTATATGCATGCATATAAGCCTAACCAATGGACTCAGAAACCAGGGGGTGAGGGCATGAGTGGGGGATTGGGGAGGGGCAATGGGGGGATAAGGACACATATGTAATACCTTATTCAATAAAGAAAAAATAAGAAATAAAATGCAGTGTCCTACAGAATTTGAGGAAACTGACACTCATCCTCTGTTGAGTGAAACATACTTATTTAAAAAACAAAAGGATGAAATTTGCAAAAACATGGTAGATCTTGAAAGTACCATGATAAGCAAAATAAGTCAGATGGAAAATCACTCATATGCAAGATATAAAACAGAAAGCAACAAATGAACAAACAAAACCAACAAACAAATTCATAGATAAAGACAACAGTATGATGGTTATCTGTGGGGAAAGGATGTGGGGAAAGGATGAAGAAAATGAAGAGGTTCATAATATATATGGTGACAAAAGAAGACTACTAGACTTTGGTGGTGAGCACACAATGAAATATACGGATGTATTATAGAATTATACCCTTGAAACTTATGTAACTCCTAACTAGTGTTACCCCAATTCATTTAGTTCTTTCAAAAATTAAGAATTTATGAGTAACATGATATTATGATATTGTCTAGATAATGAGTAATTGCTCCAACACAAATGCTTGACAATAGGTATTTATTTTAAAGGACAATTATGGAATTATGGAAAACCATGTTTTGTGAAACATTTACATGATTAAATGAGGGTGGGACAAGATGGGTAACAAAAGGTGGGTGATTCTGCCCACTGGTGTGGCTCAGAGGATGAGCACTGCCCTATGAACCAGGAAGTCACTGCCCGATTCTGGGCAGGGCACATGACCCGGTTGCAGGCTCCATCCCCAGAAGGGGGTGTGCAGTAGGCAGCAGATCAATGATTCTCTCTTATCATTGATGTTTCTATCTCTCTCCCTCTCCCCTCCTCTCTGAAGTCAATAAAAATATATTTTTTAACAGGTGAGTGATTCAAGATCTTAGGAGAACAGAATTGTTTATCTTAAATATGCAAACAAACTAAAAAGATAACACAGTTGACCCTTAAACAATATGAGGGTTAGGGGTGCAAACACCAACACACTCAAAATTCCACTTACAACATTTGATTCCCCAACTTAACCATAGTTGGCCCTTAGCATCCACACATTCAACCAATGGCAGATGTAAAACAGTATATTGTTTTTATTCTGGGTTTGAAATGCAAAAATACTGTTTTCAATCCACAGTTACTGGAAGCTACAGATGAGAAATCCAAGGATACCCAAGGGCCAACAGTATTTATGGAAAAACCCGAGGATAAGTGGACCTGTGCAATCCAAATCCATGTTGTTTAGGATCAACTATACAACAAGACACAGGTTAATTCTACACAATGAGATTATCATCATTTTTAAGTTATATATATTTCTCTTTTCTGTAAATCCTTTTATAATTAAAAAATAGAAATAGATAACAACTTTCAGGGAAAAAAGTTCTGTTTGCAAAAGGAGAGGGTTAGTTATGTGACAGGAAGGGCAGTCTCTGCATGGAACAGGCCATGGAACGGGCAGGCACAGGGGAGGACACAAGGACTCCTTGCCCTGCCCTGGCCTGGCCAGTGGAGGCAGGGAGGAGCCCAGAATAACCTGCTCTTTCTTACCTTCCCTCCACACACCAGCTTCCAGGAAAGTCTGTGCCAGACAGAGAGCCCACTGCTCTGGCCTGAGTCATGGCAACCGAGGCTCTGCTGCCCATCCTGCTTGTCTGTGTTGTGCTGCTGCAGGCCCAGGGAGGATTACATAAAAATAACAAAATAGAGAGTAAGTGATCAGCTGGGAGGCTGGGATGGGGAGAGGGAAGGAGGGGCTGTGTCCAGCTAAAGATGACCTGGGACTTGAACCTTTTAGCACATCCAGCTCTGACCACAGGACTTTAAAGACTCTGGGTCCTTCCAAATCATGACCCTCCAGCTCCGTTACAGGGCCCTGGGACTAGTGATGGACGTGGAGGGCAACCTACATCTTTTTATTCTCCATTCTCAAAGTCCAGAGACATATGGTGCATACAATAGTGAAAGGTGCACAGAGCAGAGAGTCAGACAATAAAACAAAACAACGATTCCTTGATTTATGCACATATGTCACAGATCAACATCCAGAGATGTTTATGGGAGTGGGTTTAGAATTAAAGGACATTGGGAAAGCAAATTTTGGGGTGTAAAGGGTCAACTTAATATTACAAATGTTATGTTGAGGGGAAGGGCAGACAGTGACAAGAGGAGAGGGTGGAGAGGCAAGTTAATCTTCTCTGGACTCTGCAAATTCTGAACAGTATGGGGAGAGGTTACAGATGTCTTAGACTGCTCTGAGTTCTCAGAGTCAGAGTGTAATTCTTGGGGTAACTTTACCAAGGCCATGAATAATATGAGAGACAGGGTCCTGCCTGCAGAAGTACGGAGAGGGTCAGGAAGCCCAGGCATTGATCTGTATTGGTGGAGAATGGAGGTAATGAATTGAAGATACTATCAATCACCAGGATTTGGTGAGGGGCAGAAAGTGAGATGCCTAAAAAGTCTAAGAATGTCATGAGTGGGATGTGTCTCGGGGCTTGAAGGAGGCTATTCATTTTAAAAGGGTGCTCTGTGGTGGAGTTGGGGGAATATATTGACCTTGCTTCTGCTGTTTCAGGTACACCGCCAACCAAAAAAATCGAGGAATGTGAGAAGAGAGTCAGAATACATGCGTGTAGACGCCCCTGTACACGAGACGGAGATTGTCAAGCAAATAACATATGCTGTTTAAGCTTCTGTGGGAGAATTTGCATAAACACTCTTGTCTGAGTGGGAGAGGGGGCTGGACTATACATACTGCTCCCCCAACCCTCCATTTAACACTAAAGAACAAAGACCTCAAATCTCAGGCACATGACTGTCAATAGCAATGCCACCCTCCTCACTGTCTGTATGGCTTGTTTCTGACAAATAAACCAGAGCAAATGCCCTAGGACCTGCCTATTTTATTCCTAGTGCTTGTGATCATTGAGAACCCAGTGCAGACCCCTGCATGCCCCCATCTCTCTTGGTCCTGGTCCCTGATCCCTCTCCCCTTGTCATGCTTCTCTACTCTCTCTCCCTTTGGCCCACGCACTCCTGCCAGGCCCCCGGAGGCCCAGCCCTCTCGTTGCTCTGCTCACTGAACCAGTACTCCCAGGGGGAGAAACTGCTCATGGGTGGCATCCCCCAGTGCTAAAGAGAACATCCTCACCCTGGAGTCACAAGAGCCAAGTTAATCATGAGCTAGGTGGAGGCTAAACCCTGGGGCACAGAGTCCGAGGCCCCCAAGGAGACCATTTCTTTAACTTTCCCCATCCCTGTCCGTTTCTTCTCCCACCCCTTGTAAAAATCAGGTAACTATCCTATATAATAAAGAGGTAATATGCAAATTGACTATCACTACAACACACAAGGTGGCCGCCCCACGTAGTCAAAGATGGCCGCCCCCATGTGAACACAAGATGATTAGCAGAGGAGGGTAGTTGGGAGGGACCAGGCCTGCAAGGGAAGGCAGTTGGGGACTATCAGGCATGCAGGGGAGGGCAGTTGGGGGCGACCAGGCCTGCAGGGGAGGGCAGTTGGGGTGGACTGGGCTGGCAAGGGAGGGCAGTTAGGGGCAACCAGGCCGGCAGGGGAGCAGTTAGGCATCAATCAGGCCAGCATGGGAGTGGTTAGGGGGGGATCAGGCTGGCAGGAAGAAGCAGTTAGGGGCAATCAGGCAGGCAGGCAAG